ACAAAACTTGTTAACTTTTAAATCCTGAATCCGTGTGGTCGGTGTGAACTCATCGCCGGGCACTCTTCTGCCCATGACATATGCCCATTAAACATTTACAACATGGGGACGATCGCAACGCTACCAAAACGGGGAGCGTGGGGTGGGGTGGGAAGAGGGGGCTTCCCGAGGAAGGTTTAGGCCAGAAACCGTCTCTCACCCCAACACGCGGTGGGGGGAAGAGGGCCCTTTTCACCGAAACCAGCAACCACCCTCTCCCGGCGAGCTAGGCCCGGACCACGCCGTTGCCCACTAACCGCTGCGGCCCAGGCGGCGGCCGTGGCCCCGACACGCCGGGCCCTCCAGCAGGGGCACGTTCCCGAGCGTGTCGGGGGGAAGGCACGCCGACCCGAACGAGCCAGGAGGCAATAAAAAAAATCCCGAGTCACCACGACCAGCGGCGGACCCCGGGGCCCTGGAGGCCGCTGGGGGAGGGGACGCCCATGTCCCCGGAAGAGGCCCCCGCAACCAGGAGAGAAAGCAGGGAGACCCACCTGGTGGGGACTGTCCGTTCACGGTGGCCAGGACCGGCGGCAGCGCGTTCTTAGTCCACGGGTTCACCTTGGGCGGAGGGGCCTCCACGAAGTCTCGGCGCCCGGCGCCCGCGGCTCCGGCCGCTCCTCCGCCAGCGCCCGGCTCGCCACCGCCGCCCTCCTCGCCGTCGCTGATGGTCAGGCTCTCGGCGCCGGGCGGCTGCGGCGGCCGCGGGCTCTCGCGCTCCAGCTGCCCGGTACCCTCCTTGTGTGGCTTGACGCAGGGCGGCCGAGGTCTCCGGGCGCCGCCGTCCGGCTCCCCCCCTCCGACGTCGTTCGCCCCGGGCTCGCCCTTGCCCTCGGGCGGCGGCGGCGGCTTCTTCCTCACCAGCCCCCCGTGCTCTTCGGCCTGCAAGAGCGGGGCGCCCCCCGGCAACAGCGGCTCCACCTGAGTGGCCATCTGCGCGCCCGCCCCCCCGGAGAAGCCGGGCGCGCCCGAGGCTGCCTCCCCCGCCTCGAACTTGGCTCTCAGAGCGCCCGCGACGCCTTCCTCCGGGGCGCTGGGCCCCAGTCCCTGCAGAGAAGGGTCGGGGTTCACGCTAGGCGCGGCCTCCCTCCCGGTCGGATGCAGGCGCCGTAGATCCAAGGCCCGCTGGCGGGGCGGGGGGGGGAGGAAGGCCCCCCACTCTGCGGTCCAGGCCTCCTCGGCGCGCGTCCCCCCCCGCCCGGTCCTCGCAAGTCGCCCCCACCCCGAGCCTGGCAGGCTTCTCGTCCCGTCCCTCCCTCCCCCCCGCCCCCGGGGCGGCCCGGGCTTCCCGGCTCGGGGGCTGCAGCAATATGGACGGACGGGGGAGAGGCGCGGCGAGCCGAGCAGACCACGCGATCCGCGGCAGGCGGCGGGCGGGCGCGCGCCTCGCGACGCGGCGGGCGAGGGGAGGGGACGGCGCTGCGGCGGCGCGCCCGCTGGGCCGGCCCTCGGAGACGGGCGGGCAGGCGAATGCGGCGGGAGCGCGCGCGCACGGCCTCGGGGCCCCGCCCCTCGCCCCGCCCCTCGCCTCTGATTCCTCGGAGCATCTCCCGGGCTGGGGGGTGAGGGGTTCTCAGACCGGACGGGGGCGAGCACGTGCCTGATGCAATTCGGGAGGCGGGGGCGATGAGGGGGGCAAGAGAAATGGGGGGGGTAAACAGGGGGAGGTGCCTTAAAGGGCCAGCGCGTGAGAGCGGCCGCAGGTGGAGCACATGGGAACGGGCCATGCGGCCGCCCGGGCCTGCTCGCGCTCTTGAGGTTAGGTGAGCCAGATTCGGGAGAAGGAGCCATTAATGCCACCCGCCACTTACAGGGTGGTGGAGGGGGGTACCCATCCACCCCAAGGACGCGCCGACGGTGCTGGCTCGCTGGCGCACAGCGGGCCTGGCCCCTCCAGGCCCCGCCCGGGTGACCTTGGGCGAACCGCCCTCACCTCCGCCGGCTGTGCTCGGCTCCTCCCCGCCGTCCCCGGCCCGGACACTGACCGGAGATGGGTTCGACTCCCGGACCGGAAGGCGGGCCCTTAACCCTTAGGGGCAGCGGGCGCCTAGGAGGTGGGTACGGAATTACCAACAGCCCGCAATCCGGCCAAGCCCCCGAGACCAACTGTTTATGGGCAGGAAATGTCTTTTCTTACAAGTGGATTTCTTTTTTTGTAAAGAATTGCTTTGGGCGGAGTTGAACCAACACCCGATTGGAACTCCAGAGATCTGAGATTTTGTCCTGGCCCTGGCCCTGCCCCTTACCAACTCTGCAGCAGTCGCTTCCTCAGTGGGCCTCAGTTTCCCTGTTGTATAATGAAGGAGCGGTGTATGACAGCGGTTTCAAACTTTAGTACACATTCAGTTCAATAAGTATTTACTGACGTTGTACTGTGGGGGCCTGCAGGATTCTAGGAAAGGGGGTGTGTGTGTGTGTGTGGCAATAAACCAGGTTAACAACGTCCCCAGCCTCATGAAATTTACATTCTAAAGTGGAGAAAGAGACAGTAAACTAAGCGATAAACAAGTGCTTGTCTGGTGTCTATGAAGACAATAATTACTACAGTAATAGATTAGACTAGATCAGCTGCTTTAGTTTGGATGGTAAGAGGAAACCTTGAACAGGGATTCCAAAGCATTTGAAATCAGGCATATCTGAGACTGGACCCAGAAATCTGCATGTCTAACAAGACCCCTTGGGTGGTTGCCCACCAAGGTGGTCCCACACTTCACTTGGAGAAGTTGTAGCCTCTGACTGGCTGTGATCCCATCTGCTCTAGACATAACAGCCTGGAATGTTGGCCATCTCCAAGGCAAGGCTTAGAACACATGACCTGCAGGATAGAGGAGAGGGCGTACTGGAACGCCTCTTGGAACTGTCCCACAGGACAAGGCTGGTTGTAGGGTTGTGACCAGGGCTACCGGGGCGAGGTGCTAGTGAGGACAGTCAGGCAATCTGATGTCTAGTCCCAGCTCTTCCATAGGTTGTAACTCAGCCTCTGTTTCCGGCCAGCTCTCCACACTTCCCTGGGCCCCCTTTCCTGGTGGAAAAATGCAGGTAAATTATGCCTGACTTGCTTCTACCCTCCCAGCTTTTGTGGAGTCAAGTGGGACAACGTTAGTCCAAGTGCTGTGTAAATTACAGAGACTGAGGCCAGTGCTTCAAAAGAGGTACCAACAAAAGTAATGATTAAGGAAATCTCAAGGAATTTAAGCAAGATTCTTCATAACTGCATTATATACACTCTTACTCAGAAGGTAAATTATTGCACCTTGCCACTGGAATGCACTATTCCTTAATACGTTTATTGATAAATATTTCCTGAAGAGGTTATTCACACTAGATCCTCTCTGAACTTCGTTAGTAGGAGACATAATGGTCATTGTTGGTTATTCTTTACTATATGCCTGTAAGTGGAGGTAGAAGGGAGAGGTGCCCCCATACACATTGTGAGGGGACGAGGACTCTGGGGGGATAAGTAACCACTCCACACTACTCAGCAGTCAGTCTGAGCTGAACAAGAACCGCCAGGCCCTGCAGCATGGAGGCTGGAGGAGCACTGGGATCTGCACACCCTCGGGCTGTCGTGCCCCAGGGAGGAACTCCCAAACACGAGTGTGCCATTTTACAGATGGGCAAACCGGGGCCAGAGAAGCCAAGAGAGCTGCATGAGCCTAAATCTTAGACTGAGGCTGTCAGAGCTGGAAAAAGGAATCTTAATGATTACTCAAGCTCCTTGTTTTGCAGATGAGGACAGTGAGGTTCAGAGAAGTGAAGTTACTTAACCAAGGTCACTCAGCTAGTTCAGGACAGAGCCAGGTCTCACACCTGAATCTCCTGATCCTAAATCCAGTGTCTTTTTCTACATAAAACGATGGAACTGGGGTTTGGATTCAGGTTTTTTTCATTCCTGACCCACTATGGCATTCTCTACGCGTGTCTTCAGTTCTAAATATTAAATGACCAAATAGTTAAGAGTAGCTACTTTTATTGAGTAGCTACTATATCCTAGGTTGTGCGAGAAATACTTGACATTGATTATCTCATTTAATCCTCAAAATTACTCAGTGAGATAGGTATTAATTCTTCCCACAAATAGCCATTGAGTCCCTACCTTGTGCCAGACACCAGGCTAGGCCCTGAGCTGTTATGATCGTCAATTACAAAGGCAAGCAGTTGAAGTTCAGAAAAGAAAGTCAGGTGGGTGCCTAGGGTCACAGGCAGCAGCTAACTGTCAGAGTGGGCTTTTTCAGGGCAGTCTAACTGCTCAGGCCTTGTCCTTACCCCTCGTACCACACTGTAAGGCCTGCCTTTCTTCCCTCCATTGCCATAGCCACAGGTATTTATGGAGAAGCCATCAAATACACAGGCCTAGGGAAAATACTGAAAAAGTTGAATCCTGTCTCTCCTAAAGGTAAACCCTAATTGGGGGGACCAAGTAACTAAGCAGTAGGTGACATCAGGCCAAAAAAAGAGAGAAGACAAGATAGACTTTAGGCAAAAAGAGACAGGATCAGACTAACTTGGGCCATGCCCAGGGCTTCAACCACTGATGCGCCTCAAACCCAAAGACACATAGAAAATCAAACTGAAAAAATAAAAATTAGGAAGTGGGTCCACATAGCTATTTGTAATTAATTACGTGTTTGTTTGCTCCCGGTGCTGACAACTTCCTAAAGAGAGACAGAGGAGGCCAAGAGAGGGACCAGAGAGCCGGGAGACCTGGTTTATCACCGAGGTCTCATCGCTGACTTTGCTGGATGACTGTGGGCGGCCTCCTGAGCCTCCCTGGGCTTCCATCTCCCCGCTCACAAAATGGGAAGCACAATACCTGCCCACCTGGCTCATGGGTGTGAAGAAAGATAAAATTTCCATGAAACTATTCTTTCGGGGGGCATAGGTAAAAGGGGAGGGATGGTTCCTGGAGTTATCTGTGCTTATTAGGAAGGAACATTTCACACACTTGGATGTGCAGTTTTATTCCTCTTTGAGTTTGATTTTTCCAAAGGACTCTGTTCTGGAAGAACGTGGGCTGGATCACTTATCTTCTGACATCAGGGGCTCCTGGGCGTGGTGAGGCCTCTTTATACTGACACAGAGGAGTAGGACAGAGTTAGCAAGGGAGGGGCCTCGGCCAAAACAAACAGTGCCAGCCACGGAGTGTTTTTGCAAACCCTGAAGACTCGTGGGCCTCTGGCACATGCCAGGAAATTGACTTCAGTTCATGGGAGGAGGCTCAGCCTAGATCGCCTCTTGTGAAGTAGATGCAGACACTAGTTAACCTGTAAGGGAGCAGGGGTAAGGAGTAGGATAGGGTACTGACTGTTCCCATAATACCTGGTTAAGTCCCAGGGCAACCGTTTTCTGTGAGTGTGATTATCCCCATTTTACAGATGAGGAAGTGGGCTCAGAGGCAGCCCAAGCCCCCCCAGGGGGTTGGTAAAAGAGAAGGATGGATTTGCAATGAAGCTCTGATAGAGAGTTAACTTTTAACACATTCACCACTCTGAGTTAGACAGGCACCATCCCAGCCTCTTTCTCCTCCATTCTACCTACGCAGCCTCTTCCCCAGCCCCGCTACCCTCCCTGGCATTCCTGTGCTTCTCAAGTGGGCTTATGGTGGGCTTCCCCACCAATTGTTTCCCTCCCTGAGATGCAGCCTGCCACACTGCCTGAGCAGGCTCTCAACTCTCTGATGGACTTTGATGGGCCCTGCCTCTGCTTAAAATCTCTACCTTCACACCCTTTCCTGTCCTGCTGCCTTCCAGCCCACACTTCAGCAACAGTGGATCACTCACTGTTTCTTTCACTCGACAGATAAGCACTTACAATGTGCCAGTCATTGCCCAGGCCCTGGACGAGGGGAGATGAGCAAAACACACATGTTGCCTGCCTTCAGGAAGCTCCCGCTCTAATCCGCTGTGGACCCCATGTTTTCCTGCCTCAATTCATGTTATTCTTCTCCCTGTGACATAGCTGTTCATAGTGAGGTCCTGAGTGTGAATCCCAGCTCAACCATCCAGTGACTGTGGGCAAATACTTAACCTCTCTGTAAGCCTCAGTTTCCCCATCTGTCAATTGAGGATGATAATACTACTTATCTCAGAGAGCTTCAGTGAGACTTAAATGAGCTGATGTGTGTAATTTAATAGCACAATGCCTGGTACATAGTATGTGCTAAATAAACATTACCTTTCATTACTTTTATTATTGCCAGTAATGCCTTTCCATTTCCCCTTGTCCAGAATTCTACTTGTCATTCAAGGCTCAGCACAACATGCCAACTTCTTCATAAAATCTTAATTAATCTCCACAGCTAGAATAGATTTCTCCTGGTTAAGAGGAGATTACTCGTAACTTCTAGCAGCAATATCCCGAAAGCATATAGTATTTTTTACTTTCTTTCTACCCTCAATTATGGTTACTTATGGTTATGCCTTATATTCCATCTGGATTATGATGTGTTTCTTAAAGGCGGGGACTGTACCCCATTCTTCTTAGAGTCCCCTGCAGTAATCATCAGTGGTGCCTTCTACACAGCTGGCCCTCAGTCTGTTTTCCTGAGAAAGGCATGAATGAATGAATGAATGAATGTATGCAGGATCACACCTGATCACATCAATGTTTTGGTAACTAGGGCAGCACTGTCAAGGGTCATGTACTAAATTTTATATTTATATTTATAAAATATGTTATATATGTATATATATAGTAGATATAACATAGTACATGGTAAATAATATATAATATATAATAAATATGATATATAATAAATATATGCGTTTACATATAAATTTATATATATACTTTTAAATGATAAAATATAAAAAAAAAAACGTGCTAACTTTAGCAAACAGGAAAATTTTTTAAGTCTAGCAAAGCAAAACTGACATACAAGTCCATGACCCAGAGGCCATCATTGGCAACATGTTAGTGTATTTTCCTGTAGTCTTTTTTCTGTGTATATTTTACATAATTGAGATCCTTTTGCACATTCGGCAGTTTTATTTTTTGCTTTTTCCCACCCTTCACTCTGTATTGTGAGTGCTGTGTCCGCATCATTGTAAATCGACCCCGTGCAGTCAGTTAAGTGTCGTCTGTTGAGCACCTGTGGTATGCCTTGCCTCACAGCAGGCCCCTTCTCTGTGTGTCACACTGCATTTCCCAAAGGGCGTTTGTGGAACCAGGACAGACGTGATTGTCCCCAGCTGGCAGCCAAAGAACTGAGCCCCACAGAAGTTCAGTGATTTGCTCCAGGATGCCAGAGCAGCAGAATCAAGATCAGAACCCTAGTCCAGACCCCTGCACAACACGACGCAAGACAGAGAGCACCCATGGAGAATACAAACCCTCCCCAGACCCCCAGACTCAGGTAACCACACTTAAACATTCCACAGTTAAGAAACATCCAAGTTTGTGCAGAGGGTGGAAATCAGCCAAAATGAAGGCAGGAGGCAATTTTCCTGGCAATATGACCAAACTAGTCACAAGCACTGAGCTCCCAGGAGAGAAGGGCCCTGACTTAGGGACTAGAGGGGAAAAAAGAAAGGGCAAGACGTGTTCTCTGCCCCGGGGAACAAAACTCCCTACACCAGCACATTGTTCTCATCACAGACCACCTGCCTGTCCTTTACCTATGGCACAGAAAAAAGGGCAAAGGGTTTGAGGTCAAAAGAGTTGGGTTTAGGCTTAGATTTGCCCACTTCCTAGCTGTGTGACATCAGGCAAGTTACTTCGCTTCTCTGAGCTTCAGTGTTTCTATCTATAAAATAGGGGAAAGGGAAATACTTGCCTGAAAAAATTCATTATGCCTTTGAGAATGTTAAATGAACCAGTATTTGTGAAAGCATTTTATAGTCCCAGCTCTGCCAGCCACCAGCTCTGTAACCTTGGGCAAGTTCCTTCGCCCCTCTCTGCCTCGGTTTACTCATCTGTAAAGTGGAAATGATAACAGCGCCTACCTCATAGGGTTATTGTGAAGATTAAGGGAGTTAATATATGCAAAGTGTTTAGAACAGTGCCTGACAAACAGTAAGTCCTGAATAAATGTCCGCTCTGATTATAAAGGGGTTAATGGTCATTGGCATAGAATCAAGAGAAACATTCTTCAAATTGCACAAAGGAAGCAGAGTGAGTCTCACCCTAATCTATAGATGAGGAAACCGAAGCTCAGAAAGAGGAGGTGTTTTTCAGGAGTCACGCTACTAATTGGTGGCAGCTCCAGGACTTCTAAAGTTTCCAAATGCAGTGCCTTCCCCGCTCCAAATCATATTCTAGCTGTTGCAAGCTGTCAGCCCTCTGACAATTTCAGACACAGGCATGCTTTGTTTGCCCCACACAGTATTTTTTTTTAATTGAATTTAAATGTGATTAGATAGGCCCAGCACACACTAGGAGCCTCAGGCCTCGTCTCTCCTCTGCTGTTCGTTACTCCCAGCCTACTACCCTCCTTTAGATCCCCGCACAGGCTGATGCCAAGCCAGTCACTAAACACATGGTACAGACAAGTTCAGGAGACTAAAGGGGAGGCAGAGAGGAGCACAGGCCAGAGAGACAGGGAAGAGGTAGTCAGGGAAGCCTTCCTGGGGGTGGCTGTACTTGAGTTAGGACTTAACACTGGGGAATGGGATTTGTCCAGATTAAAAGGGAGGGCGGGGAGTAGGGCAGATCGCTTTAGCATTCAGTGACCTTTGGGGATGTTTATGAGTTTCCCTGCCAAGGCTTCCCCAAGCATTATCCTTGGTGAGGAGAGGAAAGACAGGAGCTGCCCTTTATCTCAGATGAGGCCGTAAGAGTCAGGAGATCCAGAGTCAACAGGCATCGTCAGTGTATGCTGATTAATTGATCCATGTCATCATCCCTGAGGACTCGGCCCCGTGCAAGGCACCTGGAGGGAGACGTGATCACATGAGCCCAAGTATGAGCTATGGCCCTGGCCTTCAAAGATAATAATAGCAAGAATAATAATGAGATAAGGGCAGGGGCTGTGGACAGGGGCTTTTTTCTTAAGGTGGCACTTCCCAAGGAGTATTCCCCAGAATGTAAATAGATAGTCCACCAAGATAGATTCCATTGTCTCATCATTTGGGGAAACTGGGTTAAGCAACATTAAATGAATGTTTAGCTGTTGGATGTCTCAGGGCCTTTACCATTCGTGGTGAATCTCCAAGAAGGAGGAAGTGATTGCAGCACGCCCCAGACTCATGAGATATAGAGCAAATCCCAGACGGCTATTCCATGGAACGCCTTTCGAGAAACACTGACAGGTTTGCCAAGCTGCCTCCCTATTGCGGGGGCTATACCAGATGTGGTGGGATGTAGGACGAAGTCTGCCTTCCAGTTCCCACTCTACTGCTACTTCCTATGGAACCTAGAAAAGTCCCTTTTCTTCTCTGGACTTCAGTATCCCCATTTTTTAAAAAAAGTTTGGATGTTCTGGAAGTTTCTTCCCACCCTAGCAGTCTTGATAACAGTTTCTTTTTTTGTTTTTGATGGAAATGATGCATATCTTTATTGTGGTGGTAGTTTCATAGTATACAACTGTCAAGCCTTACCAAATTATACAATTTAAATGAATACAGTTTACTATATATAAATTATACTTCAATATTGTTGACTTGAACAATAAAAGTCATAGGAAAATGTTTAGGACTACACACAAAATATAAATGAAATCAATCAAGAGTTAAAAGAAATGCTTCTAGCTAAAGATCAAGTTTGGTTCAACTATCTAAAATACAGAAATACGATTTTTACCAGCTGAAATTTTTTTTTTTTAAGATTTTATTTTTTTCCTTTTTCTCCCCAAAGCCCCCCGGTACATGGTTGTATATTCTTAGTTGTGGGTCCTTCTAGTTGTGGCATGTGGGACGCCGCCTCAGTGTGGCTTGATGAGCAGTGCCATGTCCGCGCCCAGGATTTGAACTGATGAAACACTGGGCCGCCTGCAGCGGAGCACGTGAACTTAACCACTCCGCCACGGAGCCAGCCCCACCAGCTGAAATTTTTTTGATAACTGTTTCTAATGTTTCATACCTCTATGGCAAAGAGGATGAGTGCGGGTCACAGGAATGAGGTGGGGAAAGGCTGTGGCAAACTGATGAGGCTGCCTGTCTGCCCATCTCAGCAATAGTCACTGGATCAGAGGGGTTTGCTAATTCCTACGGGGTCTCACAGCACTTGAGTCTTTAGATCTGTGACACATGGTAGGAAGAGGGATCATCAAATAATGTGAGTGGTCTAATCCCCTAATGTGGGTAAAGTGCCTAGAGATCACTGATAAAGAAAAGCAACAGCCGGGCTCATTTTGCGTGAGTAGCACTGCCCGGTGTGTTTTCTGCAAGCCCTCAGGGTGACAGGGCTCCCAGGGGGCCCATGGACTGGGAAAAGCAGGAATGTTACAGCGTGTCTGCCAACCTCTTGAAAACCCTCCAATAACTTCGATTGCAACAAGAACAAAGTCCAGAGCTCTCACCTCGGCCCACAAGACCCCATGTGCTCCATCCTCCATCCGCCTCCCGCATCCCCTCTCTGCTCTTCTCCCCTGTCCTTGTCAGGTGTCAGCTCCTCAAACACATGGAGCTCATCCCAGCCTGGGGGCTCTAGGGCACAGCGTTCCCACTGCCTGGAACACATCCCCCCAGCACACGCACACACACAAACACCATCCACTTCTCCTTCAAGCCTCAGCTTAAATGGTCCCTTCTCAAAGAGACCTCCCTCGACCAGCTGGGCTGAAGTACTCCATGTTCTTCATAGCACAGATCACAATCTCTGATTTTATGTGTTTACCTGCTTTTTGCCCATTTCCTCCACCAATGTATAAACTCTGTGGGACGGGAGCTTGTGGCTACTTTGTTCACCCTTAGTATTCCCAGTCCCAAGTGCTTGGCACAGGAGGCACTTAATATTTTGTTTAATAAATGCTGTGTGGCCTCTGGCAATTTGCTTCCCCTCTCTGAGCCTCCGTATCCCCACATGTGAAATGCATGGTTGGATGAGGTGCCCTTGAGAGTCCTTGGCGCTCTGACTGTGGTTCTGTGAGTAACATCTGGGCCTCAGGCCCAGGAGTGAGCCTGGTGTGTTGCATCTCCACAGCACAGCACACAGTGCACTGATTTAATCACGCAGCAGACATCCCGTAATTCAGTATTCTGCCGTCCCCCCTCCCAGTTCCTGGGCTGAGGACCACGCTGTCAGATTTCCAGGATGATCCATGCACAGCCACCTGTTCTCCCAGCTCACTGATCCAGTGCCCATGAGGAGAGGATGGTTGGCAGGCAGGACAGGCTGGGGGAGGACGTTTAATCTGGAAGCCCAAGGGCCGGGAGGACTTGTCACTGTCCTGAACTGAAAGACTGGAATCTTTGAGAGATTTTGTCAAGTCCTGTAATCTCTGGTTAGAAGGGACCTTCTGGGATGCTTAAGCCTAGCTGCCTTCTAAACATTGCTCAGTAGTGATCACCACCACCTGGACTCTACTTGAAGTGTGTGGCATGGGACCTCATCACCTCTCAGGGCTGCTCACTCGCCAATGAACAGCTTTGTTGAGGAACTTCTTTAATCAGCAGCATACAGCAAAGGGCCTGGGTGGAATCCTGGCTCTGCAACCTACTTGCTGTGTGAGCTTGAGCAAGCTATGAATCCTCTCTGTGCCTCCATTGCCTCTTCCATAAAACAAGGAGAACCCTCGTTGGGCTGCTGGGAGAATTACAAGAGTTAATACCCAGTGGGAGGGCAATAAAGGTCTGTTATTGTTAGCTGCCACCTATGAGTGTTCTTCCTGTTGTTGTTATTATTTTTAGATCTTCTTGGACTCTCTTCTCTAGGTTGGTTGGTTGGTTCACAAGAGAGACAGTGGGGCTCAGCCCAAAGACAGTGGGCTGAGAATTCAGAGGGGTAGGCTCGCCGGGGACGGAGAATATTCACACCATCTTTCCAGGCCTCAGGGTCCTCACCTGCAAAAAGGAGACTACCCCATCGTGCTTCCTGCCACAGAGCTGATGTATAGACCGTATGAGAGACGGACAGGGAGGCCTTGAAAAGGGGAGAATGCTGCCTAAATGGGAGGGATTCATCTCATCCTGTTGGAGAAGGCCTTTCCTCTTTTAACAACGCACATTAGCTTCCAAACAGCAAAATAGCTAAACTCAACCTATTTGGCAAACAGCGTGTTTTTGGTACTTGTCATGAATTTGAAGCTAATCTCTTCATATTTTTTTTTCAATATTGTGCCAAAGCAAACAAACTTGAGAAGGGTTTATTTACAAGCATTTGGTACATTCCAACAGGATGCAGGGCTTGGCTTGGCTGATTCCGCCATCTTTGTTGATTGTTAAAATTATTGATTATTTCTTCAGTTTCTCTTCTTCAGGAATTCGGAAGGATCCAGGTGAGACACATCCACTTGGCAGATGTCAGCAGCACACAGAAGCTCCGCATACTTTCAGGAAGTCTTGTGTGACTTTTGCTCAATACCTGTCATGTCCTGTGGACCCAGGGCTGGAGGAGGCGCCTGGAGTCAGCCCTCTCATCATACAGCTCAGAAACCGAGGCCCAGAGAGTGGACAGCACTTGCCCGAAGTCTTACAGCTGGTTCATGGCAGAGGCTTGACTAGGTAACCAAGTCTCTTGAGGCCAGACTCCATGCTCTTTCCTCCAGGCCTACGGAATCTTGCAATTGCTCTAAGTTAGCTGTTGTGTATCAAAATCGTGTGATGCCTTGGGGTTTACATTGGCCAAAACTCATTGAACTGCACGCTTAAAACCTGTACCGTCCACTGTTTTAAATATAACTCAATTTAAAAAATGATAAAATGGTATGGAAGCATCCTGTTTCATGAAGGGGTCAGTGTCTAAGGTCAGAATTTAGGGCAAAAATAATGTATATTCTAAAGGGCTCAAGAAAACCCCTTAGGAAGGCAGCACACTAGAGCCAGCCTCGTCTCTCAGTGTTTCTGCGGGTGTTGTAACAGCTCGCTGTTTCTTCAGAGGGGCTAGAGTAGACGCTGGCTGGCAGGTAGGGGTCAGGTTGTGACAAAAAGAAAGTATCTCCACAACAGGGTGATATTCAGGGTGGTGAGATGCACATGTGGGAACTAAGACTGCTGAGGCTTGTAGTATCACACCACACACACACACGCACACACACACATGCACACGGACCTCCCTGAGCAGGTTCCTGGAACAGGTTAACTGAAGGCCTAGAGCTGGAGAGAAGGATCTGAGAGTTCCTGGGCCCCAGCGAGTGAGAGAAGTCAGGGGAATGTCATGGCCTCTGATGGAGAGGGCTGAGGGGCAGGGGGTCAGAGCACAGCTGGAAAGCTGAAAGAACAGAGAACACCTCATTCAAGAGGAGAGGGCAGGGGTGGGGAACCAGGGAAGGGAGGTGAGATAAAAAGAGAGAGACATTTGGAGGTAGTTTGGGTTTGAGAAGGAGAAAGCAAGTACCAAGGGTGGACCTGCCGTAGCATCGCAAAACTAATGATTGTCCTTTGATAAGTAAGCACCCCAAAATTTGGAGTGATGGAGGTGGGGGAGGCTAATCCACAAAGCAGGATACGTTTAATGAGATTAAATTCGATAACTTTCAGAACAGTTTGTTAGTCATGTATATATAAAAAGGAAGATTCCATGCTTCTCGATATCAAAAAGGTTTGTTCTTTTGAGGGTTTTAAACATTCACCGTAGAATTGTGTTAAACCAATACATTTGTTCACCTCACACCCATTAGGATTGGCTAGTATCAAAAAAAAAGAAAGAAAGAGAAGAGAACAAGTGTTGGCAGGGATGTTGAGAAATTTGGAATCCTTGTAGGAAAAAAAAAAAAAGGATAAGACAAAAGTCAACCTCCCTCCAGAAATCCCAAGCCACGTAACATTCTGGGTAGGTCCAGACAGAGCTCATGAATAAGCTAGTCCTGGGGACTCTGAGTGGCCTGGGATCATGGGACTATACCCAGGACATTCACCCTCTTCATCTATACACTAACTTCACTACCCACTGCAACACACCCACCTTCCAGCACCACCTTCAACCTGAGGGGACAGCAATGTGCAGACAGGAAAGGCTGTTGAATACGGTAACTGTAACAATATAATTTATCTCAAAAGAACGATTATGACATGATTATGTAATTAATACTTTTTAGTCAGACATTTTCATCTCTAAGGATCTCTGCGAGTCTTACAGATTATTTAAATATATATCAAACACATTTCTGGAGACAAAGTTATAGTTTTAGAAGATAATTAAAATTCCTTCCCTTTTGGAATTAAGAGGATTGCTGGTGGGATGAATAGTATGCCCATCAGACCCAGGAATAGCTCTAAACCTAGGAACCCCAAACATAGGGCTGGAAAGGATCTTTTTTTTTTTTTTTTAAGGAAGATTAGCCCTGAGCTAACATCTGCCACCAATCCTCCTCTTTTTTTTTTTTTTTTTTTCCTTTTTCTCCCCAAAGCCCCCCAGTACATAGTTGTATATTTCTTGTTGTGGGTTCCTCTAGCCGTGGCATGTGGGACGCTGCCTCAGCGTGGCCCGATGAGCAGTGCCATGTCCGCGCCCAGGACTCGAACCAACGAAACACTGGGCCGCCTGCAGTGGAGCGCGCAAACCCAACCACTCGGCCACGGGGCCAGCCCCCCCAATCCTCCTCTTTTTGCTGAGGAAGACTGGCCCTGAGCTAACATCCGTGCCCATCTTCCTCTACTTTATACATGGGATGCCTGCCACAGCGTGGCTTGATAAGCAGCGCATAGGTCCACACCTAGGATCTGAACTGGTGAACCCTGGGCCGCCAAAGCAGAACATGTGAACTTAACCACTGTGCCACCATGCTGGTCCTGGGGAAGGAGCTTGAGGAGCAATCTGTCCAGGAAAGACAAATAAATATCTAATAAACATAACATCAATTTCAAATTCCCTCCTCGTGGCAGAAGTTATTAATCAGTCACAGCGCTCTTCCCCACTAAGCCTGGATTTGTCCTCAGAATCTTTCTCAACATAGCCCTCTAGGCGGTCACCACCACCTAATCAGAGTCAAATCCTGCTTGCCATCCTGGAAATTAGCCCACTCCCATCCCTCCAGTGTGATAGAGTAGGGAATGAACTTCAGAGAGGTAAATTAACTTGCTCAAAGTTATGCAGCCAGTAATGGAAAGCTGAGGTTTCCAAATTTTTGCTTTTTTCTTAATCTCCTCCTCTGCCTCTAAGCTCTGTTCAAAATATACTTGGTGGGGGCTGGCCCAGCGGCATAGTGTTTAAGTTGTGCGCTCCGCCCAGGGTTCGCAGATTGGGACCCCAGGCGTGGACCTGGCGCCATTCATCAGGCCATACTGTGGCAGCATCCCACATAAAATAGAGGAAGATGGGCACAGATATTAGCTCAGTGACAATCTTCCTCAAGCAAAAAGAGGAAGATTGGCAACAGATGTTAGCTCAGGCCCAATCTTCCTCACAGGAAAAAAAATAAATATATATATATATACACACACTTGGTGGATTATATGTATTGCACCAGATTCCCCTTTCTTGAAGGAGCTATTTAGAATGCCTCGACCAATGATTTGCTGAGTGACAATGGGCCTGTGGCCTAACCTCTTTTAATATCAGGTATTTTCAAGTTGAAAATGGAGACGGTAATCTGGGTTCATATTCCTGCCTCTCTTACTGGCAAGTTGAAGTGCTCTTTTGAGAAATGTGAGCTGCTGCCGAAATTTCTATGCCTGCAGGGAAAGGATCGGACATTTTGAGAGGCCCTCTTCTAGGTGAGTTACTGTGCTCCTGCTGCAATGCGTCTCTGCTCTAGCCGGTGTAAAAATGAAGACAGACGTTAGCTGGCTACAGTGATCTGGCTATGCTAAGGCTACTTGGAAGGAGGTGGCATTTGAGCAAGATTTTGGAAAGCAATAGGATTAAATGTTTCTTTTGATTATCGAAGTAATCTATGGTCATTACACAATTATTGGGAAAGACAGAGTATCAAGGGGAAAAATCACTCCTATTTCCCCCATAAAGCATGTCAACATTTTGTTTTATTTTTCTCTTCTAATATTTCTTTACTACATGCATAGGTGTTTGGTTTTTGTCTCCTTTCACAGGGATTTTGTTAATTTATGCATGTCATTTTATATTTTGATTTTTAAAAAGTTTTAATATAAGAGTGTTCCATACCCAGTAAGTCTACTCCTGAGAGTAACCAACAGGAATGCATACATATATATGTTCCCCAAAAGGCGTGTGCAAGCAGCACTTCCCATAACAGTCCCAAACTGGAAACAACCTGAATATCCATCAACAGAATAGATAAATAAATTGTGATATGTTCACAAAACTGAAAACTATATAGCGATGAAAATAAACTATAGCTACACATAGCAACATGGATGAATCTCACAAATAAAATGTTGAGCAAGAGAAGCCAGACGCAAAGGAGAACATACTGTATGATCCATTGATCTAAAGTGCAAAACCAGGCAAAGCTACCCAGGGTATAAGAAGTCAGAACAATGCCTGCCCGTGGGGGATGGCTAGTGACTGGAAGGGAATACAGGGGGCGGCATCTGGCTGTAGGTTACACAGAATAAGCACTTGGTGAAAATGTATCAAGCTGTATATTTATGACTTGACTACTTTCCTACATACACGCCATAGGTCAGCAAAACATTAACTAATTAAGTTGTTGTAGGAAAATACATCCATCAGGAGGAGAGGGCCAAGAATGTCACTTTGGGCAGAGGGAACAGCACAAAGTCTCAAGAGTTTGAAGTGGAAGACAATCCAGCTTGCTTGCAACATTGGTATTACAATATTTCGTGTAAACAAACCACCCCAAAACTTAGGGCTTAAAAGCAATGACATCTATTTGCTCATAATTCTGAGAGCTGGCAATTTGGGCTAGGCTCAACTAGCTAGTGCTTCTAGTCTCATCTAGGGTCACTCATGCGGTTGTAGTCATGGAGGTTGACTGGGGCTGGATATACCAAGGTGGCCTGTGCTGTTTACCCTTTTTGCCTGCTCTAGATAAATGGATCTGGGCCCTTTAGATATCCTTTTCCTTTGCCAGCTGGCAGGATGCTCAGTTTTGTCAGTAGAGGGAGCTGGAGAGACGTTAAAGTTAAAAAAAACGAGTTTTTGCCTCCTGGTTTCGGTGTGCCAACTCACCAGGCCCCTGCAGTGTGTGTGGGTCCCCCATGCCCAGCTCCTGCAGTGGATGGCTTCTCCAGTATCAGGCTCCTGCAGTGCACAGCAGCAGGCAGCACCTGGCAGCCAGCGGCTTCCCCAGGAATTCCTCTTAAGCAATTTTGTAACAAACTGTCTCTGCTGGGAGATTTCCCTATGAATGGCTTTTCTAGTACCTAAGAATGCACATTTCCAGCAACTTTCAGAGGATGATTTCTATGAAGTCCACTGGTCTGTCTTGGTACCATGGCAACTTCTCTGCCATTTAGTGGGCCACAGCCGTGTCTTCTCCAATGAGATCTGGATCTCAGCCCTAAGGGGCTCTTCCTTGGGTATCCTATGTCAGCCCTAGGGATAGTGGCTGCTCCTTACACCTGCTACTCCTATATTCTTTAGAGTTCTCTTTACTTCTTATTAATGAGCCCCTTTTTACTCCAAGCCCCTGTTATAATAAATAATTCTTTATATTAAACTTTCCCTGTTCCCAATACTGTGTGGTTTCTCTCCTGGTTGGACCCAGGCAGATCCATGCCTCACTCATCTCTCTCGTGGTGGGTGCTGGCTGGTGGCTGTGCCTCTCTCTCCATAGTCTCCAGCAGAATAGGCTCAATTTTTGTACATGGCAGCCAGGTTCCAAAAGTGTGAATGCTGAAAATGCAAGGCCTCTTGAGGATTAGAGGCCCAGGCTTAAAATTCTCACTTGATTCTCCTTAATATATTCTAGTTCTCTGCTGAAATTCTCCATCCTGTCATATAATTTCTTGAATATATCAGTCATGTATGTTTTAAAGTCCATGTCTTATAATGCCAATATGTGGATCTTCTGTGGGCCTATTTCTATTGTCTATTTTTTCTCTTCGTTTTCAGCCATTTGGTCTTGTCTACTCAGATGTCAGGTAAGTTTTCACTGAATGCCAGACATTGTGTATGAAACAATTATAGGAAAATTTGAGGCCCTGAGTAGCATTATCTTCCTTCAGAGAGATTTTTACTTTTGCTTGTGGCCGGCATTTAAATCTAAGCCCTATAAGGAACTGAATTAATTAGATGATAGTCTTCAGTTTTGTTGGGGCTGGTCTATTTCTAATTCACCTCTACTCATAGGGAATAGCCCTTTGGGGGTTCCATTTGAAAGCCTGGGTGTTTATCAGGGACATTCCTGTTTGGTGGATCCTGAAACCCAATTTTTATACTCCAGCTCCATAATATCTCCAGATGCTCTGCTCAGCTTCTTAGCCATCTCTTGAGAAACTGCATATGGCTTGAAAGGTAAAGTGGCAGCTGAATATGGGGCTCACCTCTCTGCATTTCCCTTTTCTCCAGGATCTTGGCCCCTCAGGCCCTTTTGGCTCTGGTAGTTCTCTAATGCCTTCAAATACACACACACACACATACACAGGTTAATTTTGTTCAGCTCTTTTAACAACTCTCAATGGGAATGTTGGTCTTCAACAAGCTAGTCTGTAATTATTGGAAATAAAAGACCCTTGCTCACGTAACATTTATGTTATATTTTCCAATGGGCAGCAACCACACCTCATTCCTCTCTGTAGTACCAGGGCCTCTCTTGCTTTAAGTTCTTAATGGACATCAATTGAATAAATGGATAACAGTTTGTAAATTGCTTTCACTTTCATAATCTTAAACTATAGGCAGAAAAGGAATTACCTTTCTATAGTCCTCGATACTGGACCCAGAGAAGAATTTCCCAAAGGTTCCCCGACTAAGGCCCACTAAGAGGTCAGTGATCTATCTGGGTCTTGAATCCAGATCCAGAAGAGCACTTTTCCCCACTCTGCCAGATTGTGCTATAATATAACGGTCAAGAGCCTCATGGGCTTGGGTGTCAGGCAGACCTGAGTTTAAATCCCAATTCTGCCATTACCAACTGTGGGGCCTTGGACAGTTTCCACGAACTCTTGGAGCTTTAGATTCCTCATCTGGTAAAGTGGAGATGACAATAATAAGAGCTACTCAAGACAGCGCTGTTGTGAAGATTAAAGTGAGCTACTGCTTGGATTGGAAGAATTAACATCATTAAAATGTCCATACTTCCTAAAGCAATCTATAGATTCAACACAATCCCTATCAAAGTTCCAACAACATTTTTCACAGAAATAGAACAAAGAATCCTAAAATTTATATGGAAGAACAAAAGACACTGAATAGCCAAAGGATTCCTGAGGAAAAAGAACAAAGCTGGAGGTTTCATGTTCCCTGACTTC